TGTTTTGCTAACAATTTTGTTGTTTAATCAAATATTTTTGGCATGTGCTGTTTACAATTCGAACAATTCCATTCCTACGTCGACACGATATATCCTGGTGAGCTTGAGATAAAAGATACCACAGAGTCCAACACATCTGCTTCATACTTGGATATTTTACTTGAAAGGGACACAAATGGTAATCTAGCGGCCAAGCTGTGTGATAAACGTGATGACTTTGACTTTTCTATCGTCAACTTCCCTTACTTATGCAGCGGTGTACCTTCATCGCCTGCATACGGAGTATTTATATCTCAGTTGGTTCGATGCGCGGGAGCGTGCTCTACGTATGAACAATTTCTTGGGCGAGGTAAATTATTGACAAGCAAGTTGATGAAACAAGAATATCAACAGTCTCGTTTAAAGTCATCATTTCGTAAATTTTATGGTCGATACAATGACCTTGTCAGCAAATACAATTTATCATTGAATAAAATGCTGACTGACGTTTTTCATGCCGATTGTTGGTCCATTGTTTATGCGCTGAATTGACTACGGATTTTTTCCGTTGTTTCCTGATTGTGACAATGAGCACACGGCGGGTGTGACCGGTCAGCAGGGGATGCTCACTCCTCCATTGCACCTGATCCCACCTCTGATGTTTCGGAGGTCCGTGTTTGCTCTGCACCTGTTTTGTATATTTGTTTAATGGACGTTGAGATTGAATACTGTTCGTTATTTCCATATCCTTATTGTTAAAATATGCTATGCAAAAGTATATGATTTTTTAAGCATTTATGTGGTTATTTTCTAACAACTTTTTCATAGATACAACTTTAAATGAAGATATTCTGGAAAGTTGGAGGAAGGAAGACAGTAATTTTGTACCAACAGCAGCAAGTGAATATGTAGAGGAAAAAATTAAAAGTCAAAACCTGGTCATGGTTGTCGGGAACTCCGGATGCGGTAAAACGGCAATTATTCAACATATTGCACTCAAGTTAAAAGAAGAGAAAAGATGGAATATCAGACCTGTCGATGAGGTGAAAGAAATAAAACAACTATGTTCTCTTGAAATCTCCTCAGATAAAACGATACTATTTCTTCTAAATGACCCCATTGGTAAGGAGTCACTAGATGACATTTCATATAATTCATGGAAAACTTACGAGAAAACACTAGAGATTTGCTTGAACAAGGTTAAATTATTGGTGTCATGTAGAAGATGTGTCATTAATGACAAGAGATTAGAAGGAATACTCAAAAAGGACTCCAACATAGTAGAGATAGACAGCAACAAATGGAAGTTATCAGAGGAAGAAAAAAGGAAGATCTTAAATACATACTGCCAACATCTAGATATATCTCAAAAGGACTTAAGTGAAATACTTAAAACAGAAGCATATTTTCCTTTGCTTTGTAAAGTGCTTTCTTGTGAACAAAGTAGCGGTAGCAAAAACGTAGAACAAGTAGCCAGCATATTTAAAAACCCGTTTCAGTTCATAAAAAAAGAAATTGAACGTTACAAGACCTTAGACAAACAAAAATATTGCGCCTTACTTTTGATCGTGGTATTTGATAATGATTTAAAAGTATATTCTTTAGAAAAAGAAAAAAACGCTGAACAAAAGTATAAAGTCATTTTGAAAATATGTAACCTACAAGAAAACACACATGTTTCGGCCATTAAAGATTCTCTAGATGAACTGAGCGGATCTTATGTCAGACGTGTCGGGAATGTTTACCAATTCCTTCACGACTTCATTATGGAGATAACGACTTTTGTGTTTGGTACCAACTGTCCAAAAGAGACAATACAGTACGCAGGCAGTGGTTTTCTAAGACGACGGGTGAGAATAGAAGACGATACAGAAGAGGAAGATCGCGATCCCTTCACTGTTTACCTTCCTGAAGAGTACATTGATGATCTTGTGGACAGGTTTATCATTGACATGCAAACAGAACACCTTGTAGATGTTTTACTCAATCCTTGTTTGAGAAAAGAGAGCGTCATCAAATCTTTTAAAACAAAATTCGATTCGCTTGAAGAAATTATTGCGCTTGCAACGATTCTTATCAGAATTAAGTGTAAAATAGATAAATCGGAATTTTCAAGCTCATTTGAAGGATCTGGTGCGTCTAGACTTGCTTTCCTTGATTGGAAAGGAGAAATATGTCCTTTGACTGGATTCATTATATTTTGTCATAATGACATTTCTTCATTTTTCTTGAATAAAATCAATCAATCAACGTTAAAAGATTACCATATCTTCTCTGCCGTTTGTGCAAATGGTAAGACAGATCTATTAAATTCTCTCAGCGAGGATTATAAAAAAACATCAGTCATGGAAACTTGGGGTATTTTTTTACCAATTCATATTGCTTCTGTATTTCATAATGTTTCATTAGTTGAGGAATTACTAAGACTTGGTGCTGACGTAAACGAGTTCACAACTTATGAAACATGGACTCCATTATCACTGGCTGCTGCAAATCACGAAGATCATTTAAAAGAGGCAGGAATGGATACAAACGAGGGAGAAAGACGTAATAAAAACATTATGTGCTTATTGAACAAAGGAAGCGACATCAATTTATGTAAAAAGAATGGAGCTAGTCCTCTTTATATAGCTTGTGAAAATGGACATGATAGCACGGTACAACTATTACTGAACAACGGTGCCGACATCAATTTATGTAACAAGAATGGAGCCAGTCCTCTGTACATAGCTTGTCAAAATGGACATGATAGCACTGTACAACTGTTACTGAACAACGGTGCCGACATCAAATTATGTAACAAGAATGGGACCAGTCCTCTTTATATAGCTTGTCAAAATGGACATGATAGCACGGTACAACTGTTACTGAACAACGGTGCTGACATCAATTTATGTAACAAGAATGGAGCCAGTCCTCTTTATATAGCTTGTCAAAATGGACATGATAGTACGGTACAACTGTTACTGAACAATGGTGCCGACATCAATTTATGTGACAAGAATGGAGCCAGTCCTCTTTATATAGCTTGTCAAAATGGACATGATAGCACGGTACAACTGTTACTGAACAACGGTGCCGACATCAATTTATGTAACAAGAATGGAGCCAGTCCTCTTTATATAGCTTGTGAAAATGGACATGATAGCACGGTACAACTGTTACTGAACAACGGTGCCGACATCAATTTATGTAACAAGAATGGGAACAGTCCTCTTTGGATAGCTTGTGAAAATGGACATGATAGCATGGTACAACTGTTACTGAACAACGGTGCCGACATCAATTTATGTGAGAAGAATGGAGCCAGTCCTCTTTATATAGCTTGTCAAAATGGACATGATAGCACGGTACAACTATTACTGAACAACGGTGCCGACATCAATTTATGTCTAAATGATAGAACCAGTCCTCTTTATATTGCTTGTCTATATGGACATGATAGTACGGTACAACTGTTACTGAACAACGGTGCCGACATCAATTTATGTGATAATGATGGAGTCAGTCCTCTTCATATTGCTTGTAATAATGGACACAATAGTAAGATACAACTGTTACTGAACAACGGTGCCGACATAAATTAAGGTCAGAGTGAAGGAGCCAGTCCTCTTTATATAGCTTGTGAAAATGGACATGATAGCACGTTACAACTGTTACTGAACAATTGTGCCGACATCAATTTATGTATCAAGAATGGAGCCAGTCCTCTTTATATAGCTTGTCAAAATGGACATGATAGCACGGTACAACTATTACTGAACAACGGTGCCGACATCAATTTATGTCTGAATGATAGAACCAGTCCTCTTTATATTGCTTGTCTATATGGACATGATAGTACGGTACAACTGTTACTGAACAACGGTGCCGACATCAATTCATGTCATAATAATGGAGCCAGTCCTCTTCATATTGTTTGTAATAATGGACACAATAGTAAGGTACAACTGTTACTGAACAACGGTGCCGACATCAATTTATGTAACAAGAATGGAGCCAGTCCTCTTTATATAGCTTGTGAAAATGGACATGATAGCACGGTACAACTATTACTGAACAACGGTGCCGACATCAATTTATGTAACAAGAATGGAGCCAGTCCACTTTTTGTAGCTCGTCAAAATGGACATGATAGCACGGTACAACTACTACTGAACAATGATGCCGATAGTAATTTGTGTAACAAGAATAAAGACATTATTGATGATAACTAAATGGACATGAGTTCACAATTATTGATATACATTAAATTGGCAATTTACCAATAAGTTGAAACTAGTGTGCCACAATAATTGTCCAAAAATATCATTATTGTTTTATTTTGTTGTACTTTAAATAAGCAAATGCTAGATTTATTTATTTAATCATTGCGTTTCTAATAGGAAAATCTAATGAAACAATATTGTTAAATTTTATCCTGTGAAACATAAAATATATAGATTAATTTGAAATATATTTATATGTATTTAGTCTGAAAAACGTGTTATATGTGTACAATTGAAAAATGTGAAGTATATTTATTTAGTTAGAAAATGTGTTATATGTATATGCTAAAAATATTTTATAATTCTCCTGTGAATTTCATTTTTCCTGTGAATTACTTTCTTTTAATATGCTATAGATATGTATTTGCTTTGACATATCCTCATATAGAATGGCTTTAAATACAATGTATAAAATGTAAGATTAATCTACTATCTACATGTACTAAACCTATATCATGTTGTGAATCACGAGTCCATTGTTCAATGGCTCAAATTATAGGGAGTACAAGTAATGATCTCGGTGTATATCAACATCGTATAATATCAACTGCTGTCTTGTACTTTATATTTCAAAACAAATTTAAAACATTTCTATTTTAACATATGGAATTTTAAAAAAATGCCATTTATGTTTTATATTAGTTCAGAAAACCAAGAATGACGTTTATGGTTTTATGCCTATATCTATGACTGTAACAAAATGAAGCAATATTTTTTATTGTACATGAAAATGTATTGTGGTTGTCAGATTTCAATTTTAGAAGGACTTTCGCGAGCGCAGGGGCGTGAATATTGTTGTAAAATTTAACAAAAGACAGTTTATGTTGCTGCTGTAAATGTTCATGTTTTCATTTTGAATTTAATTTTATTTTATATAATAAACAAAAGGTAGTATCCCTAGAATTTGTTTAATTTGGGGCAGTGGTAAAGGATGTTATGTTCTGACCAGCTGAGGATATAAATAATTATCAAAGCGATCATGTAATATAATGAGATAGCTAACCGTACGAAAGCTCAAAAGTCCATGAAACAATACAAAATAAAAACAGAGCAAACATCGACCTGTAAAACAATACAAAATAAAAACAGAGCAAACATCGACCTGTAAAACAATACAAAATAAAAACAGAGCAAAAACCCACCTGTAAAATAATACAAAATAAAAACAGAGCAAACATCGACCTGTAAAACAATACAAAATAAAAACAGAGCAAACATCGACCTGTAAAACAATACAAAATAAAAACAGAGCAAACATCGACCTGTAAAACAATACAAAACAAGCAAATTCAAAGAACTGTGGTCCCCCGCTTTCGGTGTCTTTGTTGGTGAGATGTTATTTTTTATGACATATTGTTTCTAATATGAACATCCTATCATATGTCATTTCATAGAAATTATCATTGAAGTTGATTCTTATGAAGGATGAAAACCCGTATCCTGACCGTTAAAAAGTGGCCAAAGTTAACTTTTTTTAAAGTAGGTCAACTCCAAGGTCAAGATCAAAGGGTCGAGGTTTTTGGTGACAGGTTTTCTCACAAGGATTACATATGTGAAGTATGAAAGCCCTAGCCCTTACCGTTCAAAAGTTGTGGTCAAGGTTAAAGTTGTTTCATAAGTACGTCAATATTTAAGGTCAAGGTCAAAAGGTCAAAATTGTTGATATCCAATGAAAGGACTTGCCACAAAGAATACATATGTGAAATATAAAAGTCCTAGTATGTACCGTTCAAAAGTTGTGACCAAAATTAAAGTTTTTTTTAAAGTAGTTAAAACTCCAATGTCAAGGTCAAAAGGTAAAAGTTGTTGATATCCAATGAAAGGTATTCTCAAAAAGATTACATATGTAAAGTACGAAAGCCCTTACCCTCACTGTTCAAAAGTTATGGTCAAGGTTAAAGTTTTTTCATAAGTATGTAAATCTCCAAGGTCAAGAGGTCAAGGTTGTTGGTATCAAATGTAATGTCTTGCAACAAGGAATACATATGTGAAATATAAAAGTCCTAGTATCTACTGTAAAGTTTTTAAAAAGTAGTTAAAAATCCAAGGTCAAGGTCAAGGGGTAAAAGTTCTTGGTATCCAATGAAATATCTTTTCATCAGCATTATATAAGTGAAGTATAAAGCTGTAGTACTTATTGTTTAAAAGTAATAGCCAAGGTTAAAGTTTCTCATAGATACGGAAATCTCCAAGGTCAACGTCAAAAGGTCAAGGATGTTGGAATCCAATGAAAGGTCTTTCCACAAACAATACATTTGTGAAATATGAAAGTCCTAGTACCTTCCATTCAAAAGATATGGCCAAAGTAAAAGTTTAAAATTTCTGTGTAAAAGTGGGTCAAACTCCAAGGTCAAGGTCAATAGGTAAAATTTGGTGGTACCCAAAGAAAGGTCTTGTCACAAGGAATACACATGTGAAATATGAAATTCATAGCTCTACTAAATCAAAAGTTATGGGCAAGGTTAAAGTTTTTGTGACGGACAGACTGACAGACTAACAGACGGACAGACCGACAGACTGACAGACTGACGGACAGACGAATGAGATTTGATGTCCCCTCACTTTTGCGAAAGCGGGGGACAATAAAAACAGAGCAAACATCGACCTGTAAAACAATACAAAATAAAAACAGAGCAAAAATCGATCTCTAAAATAATACAAAATAAAAACAGAGCAAACATCGACCTGCAAAACAATACAAAATAAAAACAGAGCAAACATCGACCTGTAAAACAAAACAAAATAAAAACAGAGCAAACATCGACCTGTAAAACAATACAAAATAAAAACAGAGCAAACATCGACCTGTAAAACAATACAAAATAAAAACGGAGCAAACATCGACCTGTAAAACAATAAAAAATAAAAACAGAGCAAACATCGACCTGTAAAACAATACAAAATAAAAACAGAGCAAACATCGACCTGTAAAACAATACAAAATAAAAACAGAGAAAACATCGACCTGTAAAACAATACAAAATAAAAACAGAGCAAACATCGACCTGTAAAACAATACAAAACAAGCAAATTCAAAGAATTGTGGTCCCCCGCTTTCGGTGTCTTTGTTGGTGAGATGTTATTTTTTATGACATATTGTTTCTAATATGAACATCCTATCATATGTCATTTCATAGAAATTATCATTGAAGTTGATTCTTATGAAGGATGAAAACCCGTATCCTGACCGTTAAAAATTGGCCAAAGTTAACTTTTTTTAAAGTAGGTCAACACCAAGGTCAAGATCAAAGGGTCAAGGTTTTTGGTGACAGGTTTTCTCACAAGGATTACATATGTGAAGTATGAAAGCCCTAGCCCTTACCGTTCAAAAGTTGTGGTCAAGGTTAAAGTTGTTTCATAAGTACGTCAATCTTTAAGGTGAAGGTGAAAAGGTCAAAATTGTTGATATCCAATGAAAGGACTTGCCACAAAGAATACATATGTGAAATATAAAAGTCCTAGTATCTACCGTTCAAAAGTTGTGACCAAAGTTAAAGTTTTTTTTTAAAAGTAGTTAAAACTCCAATGTCAAGGTCAAAAGGTAAAAGTTGTTGATATCCAATGAAAGGTATTCTCAAAAAGATTACATATGTAAAGTTAGGCCTTTCAACTAGTTTTTCAAGTTGCACATATGGTAAAAAACATTGTATAGATAGATTTATAGGTACATAAAATTATCAAAAAAGATAATAACTTGTGCATACTTTTAATTACCTCATTAAAAAGTTTAATCATTTATACTTGACTTTTCCGATGTTGTGTTTTAGGACAGGTAACTCAGGTGTGAAAAATGACCAACTTAGTGCCGATTTGTGAGTTATCGTTTATAGGAATGACATATAGGTTGCTTCAGCATTGGTATTGTTATATACACAAAAGGGTTCCTTACATTGTTTTGTTCACAGTAAAGAGAATGCTTTCTCTCTACCTGAAATAACAGGGTCAAATGAATAGGGAACAGACTATACTCAATAGTTTAACTCTCTTAGACGATAATTATGAAGAAGAAAATTTAATGTCATGTTTTTTGTGTTCGCGCTTTTTCGCTTCCTTTGTAAATATATATATTTTTACAAGTAAATGCAACAATTGATCATCTTATTTGTGTTACTAAGCACGAAGGGGAATGACCGAGTATAAAAATTTTAATAGGTTAGAACTAAGAAGGAGGGTAGATTTCACTTTTTATTTTAATTAAAAATTTTAATTATTTGCAGTAAACCGGTGTCCGCAACTGTAAAGTAAATAAGTTTAACATTGGTGCTAAATTTTAAAACCACTAGATTCTACTGAAAGAAAAGAAACACCTGAGAAATGCTAAAAACTGCCTTGCGTATAAACAGTTAGATACCCCGAGCCTGCTCTAAACAAGTTTAAGCAGTGAGTCATCGTTCATAACACCGACCCCTAGCGGCAGTTGAAAGGCCTAGTAAAGTACGAAAGCCCTTACCCTCACTGTTCAAAAGTTATGGTCAAGGTTAAAGTTTTTTCATAAGTATGTAAATCTCCAAGGTCAAGAGGTCAAGGTTGTTGGTATCAAATGTAATGTCTTGCAACAAGGAATACATATGTGAAATATAAAAGTCCTAGTATCTACTTTTTAAAAGTTGTGAGCAAGGTTAAAGTTTTTAAAAAGTAGTTAAAACTCCAAGGTCAAGGTCAAAGGGTAAAAGTTCTTGGTATCCAATGAAATATCTTTTCATCAGCATTATATAAGTGAAGTATAAAGCTGTAGCACTTATTGTTTAAAAGTAATAGCCAAGGTTAAAGTTTCTCATAGATACGGAAATCTCCAAGGTCAACGTCAAAAGGTCAAGGATGTTGGAATCCAATGAAAGGTCTTTCCACAAACAATACATTTGTGAAATATGAAAGTCCTAGTACCTTCCATTCAAAAGATTTGGCCAAAGTAAAAGTTTAAAATTTCTGTGTAAATTTTAGTCAAACTCCAAGGTCAAGGTCAATAGGTCAAATTTGGTGGTACCCAAAGAAAGGTCTTTTCACAAGGAATACACAAGTGAAATTTGAAAATCATAGTTCTACTAAATCAAAAGTTATGGGCAAGGTTAAAGTTTTTGTGACGGACAGACTGACAGACTAACAGACGGACAGACCGACAGACTGACAGACTGACGGACAGACGAATGAGATTTAATGTCCCCTCACTTTTGCGAAAGCGGGGGACAATAAAAACAGAGCAAACATCGACCTGTAAAACAATACAAAATAAAAACAGAGCAAACATCGACCTGTAAAACATCAGAGGTGGAATCAGGTGCCAAAGAGGAGTGAGCATCCCCGACAGACTGATCACTGGAAAGGGACGACATGTTTGGACAAGAATATTGATAACTATTCAAGTGATCATGTAATATAAGGAGTTAACGAACAATACTATAGCTCAACAGAATTGATTAAAATGAGATACATGTTCGGTGGTTAAAAAAGAAATGGATATAATGAACATTATTCAAGATCAAAAGTCCATAAAATAATACAACATAGGAGCACAAGTTCGGATTACGTGCCATGGATGAATGAGCATCCCAGGCAGACCAGAAAATTTGACTTAGCATTTGACTTAGTGATACATTGTATATGCTGACAAGGTCATTCTATGAACAAATTACATACAAAATGATAACTTTAAACAAGACTGCGGATATTCTTGTTTCATTTTCTTGTTTCACGGGTTTGTTAAGGCAGCACACGGATCAGAATTCGGAGAATTAACACTTTTTATAATATGTAACATTGATAAATCGGAAAATCGTGGATAAAACTGTTGCTATCATTATGCATTCTATAGACCTAAATTGGACTTCTACTACAGGAATCACTTCAACGCGACTTCACCACGTAACGTCTATAATCAGAAAATATGCCTTAATGAAAAAGTGAAAAGTTCAACACTACCCCGGGGATAATTAACTTCAATTTGTAATACTGTAGACGTACTTTTTTCCGTGGGGTCATAATTCCACGGAATCTCAATTTTTGTTTTATCCACGGGTAGAAAATTACGCGGATTTCTTAGACTGTCACTATTTGCCTTTCATTTACAATAAGCACGCTTGGACAAATTTCCAAGGAAAATATGTGGGCGGGTACATATCGTAAATTAATACCACGGGAAAAAAAGTACTTCTGCAGTAATAGTTATGTAAAAATATCTCTGTACCATGAAAAGTACTGCTACAAACCTATTTCCTATCACATAAATAATTATTCAACACTTTCGGACGAAACCTTCCCACAGTTTTTACATTTTGTTATT